TCGTTGTTGTCCAACTTTCGTCCAATGTGTTTCACTGATTCCAAGCACCTCTATGTTGTATCTCCTCATTTCTGAAACAATTTGGAAAACTCTCCCAGTCCCCCACATTGTACGAGCATTCCATGTACCTAAATAAATGGTTCCTCTGGTTGTGAGAAGGGGCATCGGCCTCGTGACTTCCGAAGGAACGCGGTTTTCATCATGAGGCGTCATAACTCTTCTAAATGAAGACCTGACTCCCAGGGCAGAGTTTAAAAGGTTTGAATAACTTTTTCTGGTTAGCAAGTTGGTTTTCTACGGGATGAGGTCGCTAAACCCATGCCCAACCCTCCTCTATCAGGGCTTGAGACCGGCAGTAGCCCCCGGAGGGACTCCAGGCGGAGTTACACCATTAAAATACTAGGTTAAATATCTATTACTCAACGTTCGTTAAAAGTTGTCACGAGGTTGTAAACTATTATATATTTGAATTTAAGTGACAGTGAAATACTTTATTCCTCAAGAGCGTGTTCTTGAAGATTCATGTATTTCAAAGTGCTTCAATTGAACATATCACTAATTCTCAGGTACGTGAATTGCCTATCAGCATAATTAATAATGTGTAGTAAGTTACTGAATATAATGGTTTGACTAAATTTAATTTATATATCTGTTATAAGATACTGTCGGCATCACAGATAACTGTGTCTGTGATGTTGTGCATCTTTCCAGTTTATCACACCTGATATAAACATTCAGGATTTCTAAAACTGGCATGCAAAACCTGTTATTACTGTAAACATATACATTTGAACTGCAGATCTATACGGGGGAACTGTTTGTTCTTTATTAGCAACCTTTTAAATACAGATGATCTATGTTTTTACAATAGCTAGGAGTTGCTTGGATGTTTACATAATTATTCTGTTCAATTCATTTTGTTTTGTTGTTCACATGATTAGTTGATAACTAGTAAGATCACTATGAAGCTTCTAAATTTCATACAACAAGTGTTAAATATTAGTTCGTATATTACAAGTTTCTGTATCTAGTATACTAGTTATTCCCAAACCCGTCACCAATAGTGAAAACCTACTTTTAACTACCCTTCCCCACCAATCCATATCATTGCATAGAGAAAATATAGAGCAATTATAAGTACGATTATAAGCATTTCACATTTACGCTAGATTGTCTCAAATAATGGTCATCTATTTTACTTACTCTGAATTGATTTGTCTCATAGTATAAATAGCTTTATAAAATGTTAACTATGAGAAAAAAACACGTATACACTCAAGTTTTCCCATTAATAGATGTAAAACGTTTTCGGCTAAATAATTTTACAGATCATTTTCATCATTAAAATTACTATCTTTATAGTGGTAGCAACCATCATTATATTTGTCCCATGTGTGTCTGTATGTGTGCATATCTATTGGATGAAGTCTGACTAGTAGTACTACTTCTCTTCCTAGTACTACTATTTCGATGGATATATATGTGAAAAGAACATGTGGGTATTTCTTTACAATCATTTTCTTTCCTAGCACATACATAGTACAAAACAGAAAATAATCTTTTTCTACTCCGATTGTTTTGTCTGTTGTTGTCGTTGTTACAGTTGTATTTTATTACTTCTTGTTCCAGTCAACCCATATTTCATTACAAGTAATGAGAGAGGATGACCTTTTGGGGGAACAGTCGCCTTCTTTTTTTCACAAAGCTCTTCGATTCTTAAACTTTTTTTTCTCGTCTTTCTTTAAACGAAAAAATTAACATTCCACTGTATTCCCACTTTTTTCTACATAAATCCGCTTACGTTATAAATATTTATTTGCTTACTTCCCATATATTTTCTTTACATTAGTAGTCGTCCTCTGGTCGGTACTATATCATTTGTGTGTATGCAATATTACACGTGAAGAGTGTGGCATATATGTCACTGAAATAACCTATAAATATTACTTTTACAATACGCTGACTAAGCATAACTTGATATCCACGACGAATGACAGGATTTGTTTGAATGACTAGACTTTATGCATTTCTGATGAAATGTAAGTTTTGTGTTTGTTCGGGGTGATAACACTGGTGATATGTTGTACACATACATTAATATATATATATATATATATATATATATATATATATATATATATATATATATATATATATGCTCTCGGTAAATTACGTCATTTATTAAAAAAGGCTAGAACAATGCAGTTATTTCCAATCATGTAGCTACATATAGATTCCTACTTACTCTAGTTATTTGAGTAAGTTGTTGAATTCGCAAACCTTTTTAATTCTTATGGTTCATTAATTTTGTAAATATTTCATTGACCTAATATTGTTGACTAACTAAAGGTACAACCTTTAATCCGGAGTATAAATTGATAATGTACACAAATATTCATTTTATTTCTTGAACAGATAGTTTTGTATACGACTTAATGAGTTCGAAGATTGATTTCGTCAAGTAGTAAAACTATTTATAGAGACTTTGAAAAGTAGGAGAGATTGAATGAATATTTCTTCTTCAACATTATGTAACGTCAAGACTACTTGGGAGAGTAGTCAGAAACTCCAGATCATAAGCCCTGTTGAATAATAGTTGGGCAGAGAATCCAGCCCTTCATACTTTCCAATAATATCTGGATTATCATCATTTGTCATCGAGGGTGCTAATAGATAGAGTTTTAGCTAGTGTTAGTGATCTTATAGAAACTTTATCTTTAAATTAGTTTCCCTACTGTTACTCGAATACTTTTTGCCTTTTTCTAGAATTCATTTTTATAGATTCTTTTTCCTTGTATGGATTTATCAATTTGAAATAATTCCTGAATTATTATTCAAGTAATTTTCCAGTGAAAAATGTACAACTTTACTATACTAAACTGGCATAATGAGCAAACAAGTAGAGGTTGATTAACTTCTAGATATGCTTAGTTTAGATTGGTTCTTTTTGACCGTCTTCAACCAAGTAATACTAGTTCACCCTGACTTAAACTCGCGTTCATGCTGTACATTTCTAACTATCAAATATGACAGATTTTGTTGACTGGACTTTATAAATTTGATTCCTTCTCAATAGTCAATAAGTTTATCAAATACAATCCTACAAAGGATTAATCCCTAAGTATCCTGTCAGTAAAATTATCCAGCTACAATTCTGAATGATGCAAATTCCAGTCACTGAAAGATTATGAGAATTCTTGTGGCTGTATGTAACCATTACTCATGAGTGACAAATTTGGAACTAGGGTTTAGGTTATATTATTAACTTCCTACCATATCTGCTACCTTGATGTGGTGGTCACACTTATTTACCGTAACAGCCCAATTGAGTTACATTGGCTAGGGAACTTGTTCTTTCTGCTGTTGTCATGACAAACAGGTTGTTTGAAGAGCAGCAGATCTAACGTCCAAGGGTAAATTCGTACTATCAGCTGTACTGGGGAGTAATTGCGATAGGATGTATACCGTGGATAATAAGGAATCCTAGTTATTCTGGCTTTTTACAACTGATCAGAAAAGGGTAATCGTAGGATTAACGCATTTAGCTTGGGCGGTCGTTCAATTCTGGTACTGATGTACGCGCTCCCAGTACTATAGTTCAACCAACTACTTAAGGGAGAATACAAGGGATAAACGGGAACCTTCATTGGAAAAACTGAATGGAAGTAGGTGGAAAAACTCAATCAGAAATATAGATATATGCTCCTCGGATAAATAAGCCAAACCTAGACCAGTTGTGTGCACCTACCAACATCTCTCACCTGTCATTGGGCCTTGAACCGATGTTTCTTACAAACCCAGTTCACCAACCACCACCTTTACCCCTCAAATTCCTGTGCTGGCGGTAAGTATTAGAATGAAAAGAGCCAATAAGAAAGAAACTTATGATTAGGTTCTGTACGGATAGCTATGAGCAGTTATCCCTCAGGCTCTTTTGTTCCATTCTAAGGTCGTTGCCCAACGATGGGCAGAAACAGATCATACCGTTATCAACCATATTTGAAGATGTTTTTCATAAAGCTAACGTTCCTTATGGGACACATATTTGGACTCCGATTTTACTCTAGTAAGTGCACATGTTTTCATGCGTTATTATACCAGGAATATATGTAATCTAATTTTGAGACTTTCTTCCCAGATATGTCTTTAATTCTTCAATGAAACCATAAGTTACTGTCATTAACCTTGAAACATTTGACAAAAAGAAAAGTATATGATAACTGTAATATAGGCATAATCCTGATCTGTTTAGGATGAAAGGTTTCTAATTATAGTTTTAATCCTTTACATTTGTATATAAACAGTAGAAGGTACTGGAACAATGTACCAATCATTGACTTACACATAAAAATTTTAAAGAAATTCACAAGTATTTTATGACTAGACCCAGCGTTCCACTTAAAATCATCCACATTGACCTACTCAATCTGTGCAAGATCCTCATCAGCAATGATTTATATGAATTGATCAATTCTCAGTTGATTTAAGTGATGTTCTGGTCTTAAATGATTGGTTATATCTAGTCATAGATAACCTTTCTGTTTTAAATATTTATAAAGTAAGAACTATAAAAATCTTCCTGCTTTCATCAATTACTTTTTTGGACAGTAGCTGAATATTTTGTAAATTCTTTTTCTAGTATCACCTATTTGTATTTTACTGGGCTTATATTATTAAATCAATTTTCATAATATTTAAAATATAAAACAATTAACAAACATTTCGTTTCTCCATGTAGAGGATACGGTATTCAGCATTCAACCAATTATTATTGCACTCAAATTTGTCCAACCTTTTTCAGTATAGACACCTTAGTTTTACTGTTGAATATAATGAAATACATATGTTGCTTACATACTGATAATTTAGTCAGTAGTCATCCAGGTGTGATTACTGTTTTTTACGTAGTTTCTAATATCATCATTCATATTTTTAAATCTGAAGCATGTCAGTTAAATCATAAAATTAAATAAATTATGCAATCATTTCTAATTATTTAGTGCCTCAGCCATCATCAATGGCTTCTACAGATCAAACGAATTTCATGACTGTAAACAACACAAATGGATCTTATGCTAATTATTATCCTCCTCCTCATTATCAACATCATCAAACGACGAATTCACAATCAAATTTTAGTCATTTATTTCATTCAAATATGACATATCCTTCTTTACTAATTACACCATCGTTTTCCAATCCAGCATCTCCTATTTTCCCTCCACCACCACCACCACCACCACCAGTTATTACAAATTCTGGGAATATTTTTGTGTCTTCCAGTCATACAATAAATCCTACTGCTTCTAGTGTTTATCCTGTTGCTGCTGCCGCTGCCGCCGTAGCTGCTGCTTCTTTTCAATCCCTTTCATCATCTGTTTATGATCAATTTTACTCGGCAATATCATCAAATAATCTAACAACTGTTAATAATAATAGTGGTACAAATATGCATCAACATCTTACTCATAATTATAACTCTCATTGTACTTCACAGCAGGCAGAGGATTCAGCTCAAAATGAATCGATTTCTTCATCTTATAGAAATCCGAACTTAACTGGTTATTCTGATATTACACGAACAACATATCCTTTAATGTCTACCCATTTACTTCATCAGCAGCGTCAGACTTCTTTATTTCCTACTTCATCTTATGGTTCTGAGTAAGCGAAAGGTTTCAGTTTATTTAAATGTTAATCACCTTTTTTAAATTTTGTTTGTGCAAAATAATTTATAGTTTCCATTTTATGATCTTGTTAAATGATAATTGTCCACAGTCCATATGTTGCTGTAGTTCTTGAAAAACTCTAAGTTTAATAATGCCTCCTGACGTGGTTGGTTTCGCCCATCGTGATGACTCAAAAGATCTACGGCCCGAGGGCGAAGTCGTACTGCTGACTGTAGAGGGTTGTGACAGAAGTAAGGTGTTTCCTACGGACAACCATCATCTACAGCGATGTTGCCTTTTCATAATCGACTCGGATGGACTCAAATAGATTCTACTGTCACTAGCCATCATTGAAGGTTCTCGATAGAAAGCCGTCGCTCATTCTAGAGCACATATTTAGACTCATATCATGCCCTAGTTCGAGCACGTATTTGTCTGCTTCTTACGGGAAAAGCCACAGCAAGAAAATATCCCTTAGAGTTCAACTTACTGATGAAAACTTTAAAAAATATTTCAGAAGTAACTATAAAAGGAGTTAGTCAACCATGAGAGTGATATCCACCCTGAGGTAGCTTGGTATGAAAATAGTAGTGATATCTACTAGTAACTCAAACCAAACTCTTAGGAAAAATCAGTGGATTCCGGTGGCGTCTACAGAACTGATAGATGCTCAAAAACTCATCCCGTCTGGCTCCGAACACAATGGGGAGCTTAGGCAGCTTAGAAGTAGGCTGTTCAAAAGCCTACGTAATTGTCGTGGGCAGTGATGGCTAGCAAAAGAGATGGAAAAGGCAGTAGGGATAGGTAACAGTAGACAACTGTTCAGAATTATCAAGGAAACAGACATTAAAAATCCGGATGTTAGTGAAACTATCTCGGAAATAGACTAGAGTATTATTCACTCTCAATCCAAGAGATTGGACCGTTGGGAAGAACACTTTACGAAACACTTCAACTAGTCTTCAGCAACACGTCATTTACTTACTATGTCCGAGCAACCTGAATAGTAAACTGATGTAGGTCCATTAACTTTTAGTGAGGCTGAAAAAACTATAAATAATCTAAAGCGAGAGAGCAACAGGGCCTGATGGATTAACTCGAGATTTTTAAGGATGGTAGTCCAGTTTTAGCAGTTAGATAAACTAAAATCTTAGCTAAAATCTGAGAACTGGACGTAGTCCTATCTGACTGGTTTCTATAGCTGATCGTCCCAGGTTATAAAAAAAGGACAGAAACCCTCTTGCGATAATTACTGACGAATCTGTTTAACTAATATAATGTCTAAAATATTAGCCTCAATAATACTTCGACGTCTAACTAGAGGTCTTGAAGAGAAAACCCGAGAGAATCAGTCTGGTTTTTAGACCTGGACGTGGATATTTAAACCAAATATTCACCCTTCGGCAGGCTCTGAACACAGACATACCTTTCGACCTCCGGTTATAGTTGTATTCCTTGACCTTGAGGCGGCGTTCGACTCTGTTAATCGTGAGTTTCTGTGTCAGTGTCTGTCACTAAAAGGCGGACCAAAAAAGCACACTAACTTTTTACAGGTTTTCTACTCGAACACTACTGGTAGAGTCAGTGCTTATGGCGAATCATCGGAGTTGGTTTCCTTAATTGGTTTTCGTCAGGGTTATCCTCTTTCCCCATTTCTATTTAACTTCGTCATCGACATGCTTTCAGCGAAAAAACTTCCATCCTCTTACTTTTCGGAGTCTGTCTTCTACTAGGAGATTTACTTGTTGACCTAGAATACATAGATGACATAGTTCTGCTTTGGTGAAGACACTGACAACATGCAGTCGCCTGACCATCTTAAGCAATAATGGAAGCATGTTTGGAATGCAGTTCTTTCCTTCCAAATGTAAAATATTACTTCTAGATTGGTTTGCATCATCACCTAAATTAGTGATTGGAAGTGAAGTAGTTGGACGCATCGACCGCTTCACTTATCTTGGAAGTCTCGTCGGTCATGATGGCCTAGTGTCTGATTATTTCTCGGCACATATTCAGAAAGCTCGACTGGTTTTCGCCAACTTGAGTCACTTGTGGCTTAGGCGAGACATTCACCTTCCAACCAAAGGTCGAGTTTACTGTGTAACAGATCGCTCCGTCCCATTTTATGAATGTGAAACATGGCCATTAAGGAGAGGATGTTTGTAGGTTGCTGGTATCCGATCATAGGTGTCTTCGAAGCATTGCTCGTGTATTTTGGGACCACGGAATAAGTGTCTGTGATGCCAAATAATTCTCATTAACAATGATACTGTTACTACCTCTACTATATTGGGATTGAGCCTGATAACTTCATCTCTCTGTGTCAATGGAGTATAGCAACTTGAACCGATGTACATACGTAACAGCTTGCACTTTGTGACTGACTGATTTAATAATGTTTTAGAAAGATCGCCTTCCAGCGATTGGAGATAATTTAATTTTAGTATGTTATATTCCCATCTTTTCTCTTGTCAGATTGTGCATATATAATTTCAGCCTATAAATTATCCAGATAGAACACTTACTCTTTGGCATCTTTTCGAACTCTCGAGTGAATTAGGACGGAGAATATGTCGTTTATGTATTGCAGTGATTTCTGAAATGTAATTTAAACAAATGTAGTCGATCATATACATGAAGGATAATTCATAAAGCTTGAATACAAAGTTCCAATTGAATAGATCCTTTCAAAAATCATTAGTAACAATGGTCTTTTCAGTAGACTGGATTATCTAACTAATTTAGTTTCAACCCAAGTGAAACTAAGATGTTATTTGTCTAAATTCGGTTGCGAATCTCGTCAACTAACGTTATCCGCAACGTTTTGATTGTTCAGTACAAGCCCTCTCTCCAACACTCAATTTAGTGGAAAATTCCTGCATATTAAAGTGTGATTTCCATTGGGGATTTTGTTTCAAGCCCTAAATTTTCATCCGGTATGTTGGTCTGCTCTACACTGACATATTCATTTCAGACAGTTGCGCATACTTTCAGAGCCTTGGAATCCTATCTTCAGTGGAAATTACACCTTTATACGTAGCCGTTACCTGCTAAATGAGAAAAGTTACCGAAAGTGCTGTTCACAAACACGTATTGAGAATTTAATACGTTACAGATAGCCACAGCTTTCTCGATTTCTGTCATGTTCTAGACCTAAAGTTCCTTGATTAGTTGTATTTACTTACTGTTGACCCAATTTTCTCTCAAAGTGCATTGTCTTTCTTCATGTCTTATAGATAAGAGTTTTAATAAGATTTTATAGACTATATTCTATGGGTTCTACTTATTTAAGGTAAATTTTAGTGTATATTGCGAATAACTTAGATACATTTCTCTCTGCAATACCTTAGCGGTTTAAAACATTTACTAAGCATATATATATTCACCATTAAAAAAGTGAATTAATTTGTAAACTAGCCAAATTACTTTACCAAATTTATGCGCATATACTACATTGTGAATGTATTTGTGATTTGTTTTTAGCTTTTCTGTAGTACATAGATAACACAATTAGTCAGTACGTTAGTATTCAGGTTATTGAACGTAGTATTTTGGTTATTGTTTTTCTAGTTAATTATGTTCATGACTAATCCAGTTATATCATATAAAACTATACACCAAAAAATCATTCAATAAATTTGGCTTATATACACATAGTGTGAGAAATTTATTTTAGTCAATAAGTAGTCCAGGTATTGGTTGTCTATGCGTATGTGTGTGTGTGCTTTGAAGTTGATTCATTTTAGTGATCTAGTTGGGCATCACATTTTATGTACTGTCTTAGACATAACAATACAGAAAATAAATAAATAGTTAGCAAGAGATTGTTCACATAAAACTTTGCTCGTGTTTTTGAAGCGTCTCAAGTAAATTTATATATATATATATAGTCACAATTGATTGATCACTGGGTGGCGATCAATGTCATGCGTGTCTAGTCCTTATTAGTGCAGATCGAATGCTATCAATCATGTTGCAATGTAGCCACCAATCTAGGTGACTCGACACTGCGGGCACTATATATTGAGATTAGATGGTGGTTGGAGGTAGTCGACAGGAAACCCTGGACCCGGGTTTCGTGCTATTTGGCACTCGTCAGCAAGGTGTACCTGTAATCTTGAGGGAACTGGTGCTCCCTGGCGGATTCGATCCCGTGTCACGCAGCTTCACAATCAGAGACGTTACCACTGAGCTATCCGAGCCGCGACTGATTACAGGTACACCTTGCTGACGAGTGCCAAATAGCACGAAACCCGGGTCCAGGGTTTCCTGTCGACTACCTCCAACCACCGTCTAATCTCAATATATATATAGTGATTTGTGAAAAGGATTAGTTCGTGACTTAAACTATGGAAATTCTACAATCTCCACAAAACCTTATAGTGGTAATAATCATATTCTCACGAGTGACTAACTTCAAGATGTAATTGCTAGGATTCTAGCGAGAAACCGTGACCAGTAGAGTTTAATCATCTCAGATGTGAAACATTTATCTTCCTCAGACAATGGAAGATGGTAACTGGATATCGTGAATTGATTGAATCAAGACATATAAACTGATGGGTGACACTTCAATTATCTAGAATTTAAGCGTGCGGGCACTAGACTGAATGTCCTTGGTTCGATTCTTGATGATGGGTTCGGGAATACGCACTTATGAGGACTCACATACTGTGATGAAACAGCTGTCATGTGTTTTCTGATTTTCGATGGAAGTCTACCTAAAATCAGTTCGTGATTAAAAGTGAAAAAAGGAAAACGTACACATTCCAGTATTTTACTACACAGCATAACTGTCATATTGGCGACTTAATTCTGGAACAGTCTTAGGATTATTGACTGAACAGCATTGTCACCTCTTACTTATCATCAACAGATTGGTATGAATATTACTTACGCTTGTTACCCCTCATGGAAAAACATAGGTCGCTCACCAGCATTCTCCATCCAACTCTGTCCTGGGCAATCCTCTCGAGTTCTTCACAGTTGTTATCCATCTTTTGCATGTCTGCTCTAGATTCCCAACGTAGTGGGTTCTTCGGACTACCACTTTTCCATTTCCCCTCAGGATTTCAAGTTAGCGCTTGCCTCGTGATGAATTTTGATGATTTCCTCAATGTGTGTCCAAAGTACGTCCATTGTTTTTTCCTAATTTCCTCTGCAGTTGTAAGCTGGTTTGTTCTCTCCCACATTAGGCTATTGCTGATTGCATCCATCCAACGGATATTGAGTATCCTGAGTAGACAACTATTTATAAATACTTTTACATGTTTGATGATGGTTGTGGTAGTTCTCCAGGTTCCAGCTCCGTACAGCAGAACTGTATTGATGTTCGTATTGAAGATCCTGACTTTGATATTGGTTGATAGTTATTTTGAGTTCCATATGTTCTTCAATTGTAGGAATGCTGTCCTTGCTCTTCCAGTGCTTGCCTTTACGTCTATATCAGATCCTCCACGTTCATCGATGATGCTACCCAGACACGTGAAATTTCCTATTATTTTCTAGAGTTTCTCCATCAAGTATGGTTGGGTTGGTGTTCTCCATGTTGTATTTGAGGATCTTGCTTTTTCCTTTGTGTATGTTGAGGCTCACTGATGCATAGGCTTCTGCTACTATAGTTGTCTTCATCTGCATTTGTTCGTGTGTGTAATAAAAGGGCCAGGTCATCTGCGAAGTCCAAATCTTCTGATTGATTCCGAGCTTTACATTGTATTTCGTGTTTTCCCTCAAATGTGGAAGACATCATAATCCAGTCGACCACCAGAAGAGAAAGGAAGGGGGCGTAAGAAGCCTTTTATGACAAAGGTCTTTACTTAGAATGCATCTATCAACTGTCCTCCACGCACCACTTTACACTGTAGTCAGTCGTATGAATTCCGGATAATGTCGACGATCTCAGCTGGTACTCTACAGTGTCGAAGAAGTTACAATAATGTTCTCCTATCTACACTGTCAAACGCCTTCTCATGGTCAATGGAGTTAATGTTTAGTGACGAGTTCCATTCTATTGATTGCTCAACAATGATCTGTAGTGACTCGATTTGGTCTGTCCACGACCGATCCTTAAGGAATCCAGTCTGTTGATCTCGAAGTTGGGCGTCTACTCAATCTTTTATCTGGTTCAGCAACACTGCTAAAAACCTTTCCTGGTACTGACAGTAAAGTGATTCCTCTGCAGTTCTCATATTTGTTCAGGTTTCCTTTCTTTGGTATCTTGATGAGATGTCCTTCTTTCCAGTCTATCGGCAATTGTTCCTCCTCCCAAATCTTCTTAAATAGAAAGTGAAGTATGTGTAGTTACTTCTATGTGGTTTTAATGCTTCGGCTGGTATATTGTCAGGTCATGCTGCATTCCCACTGTTGATGTGTGATGGCCATACTGATCTCTTCGATCGTTGGTGGAGTAGGAAGGTCTGTGTGTGTTGTTTTGATGTCCGATAGGTTCACTGTGGCTGGTCCATTCATGAGATTTTCAAAGTGTTCCACCCATCTTTTTCTCTATTATTAAATCTCAGTAATTAGCTTGCCTTCTTTGTCCTTGACTGATCACTATGGTTTATTATATTTCCCTGTCAGTTCCTTCGTCGTGTCATTTAGTTGTTTCTTATTTCCTTCTCTTGCATCTTTTTCCGCTGTCGTTGTTAGCTCTCCCACGTATTTCTGCTTGTCGGCTCTAATACTTTTCTTCACTCGCCTGTTTGCTTTGGTGTATTCAGCTTGTGCCTTGACTTTCTTTGCTCTTGTTCGGATGTTGTTAATTGCTCTCTTCTTGTTCTTCCTTTCTTGAATCTCGTCCAGGGTTTCGATAGAGATCCATTCCTTATGATGATGCCTGTTGCGGCCCAGAATCTCTTAACACGTTGAAGTCAGTGTTTCTTTGATCCCTTTCCAGTTGTCTCCCATAGTAGTTTCTTCTTCCTGTATATCCTGTAAGGCCTGAAACCTGTTGTTGAGAGCTATGTTGAATTGGCTGAGTTTGACAGTATGTCGAAGGAAGGGTATATTGAACCTTTGTAATGCTGTTTTCCCAGTCTTAGAGTGTTTCTTCACCTTCAGTTTCATCTTGGCAACCACCAGTTGGTTGTGATCTGAAGCTATGTCAGCACCTCTCCTGGTTCTCAAGTCTTCCATTGACCTTGTAAATTTTTTATTGATGCAAATATGACCTATCTGGTTCTTTGTGCTGTGATCTGGTGAGACCAACGAATCTTTGTGTATGAGTTTGTGTGGGGATATTGTGCCGTCTATAACCAGTTTGTTGAATGCATATTGGTTCGCAAGCCTCTCCCCATTTTTGTTTCTCTCTCCCCACTCCGTGTCGTCCTATGATATCTTCATATCCGGTGTTATCCATTCCAACTTGGGGCGTTTGAGTCTACCGTCAGGATGGTGAGATCCTTTCTTTGGAACTTCACTATGATCGATTGAAGCCTCTCATAAAACTGATCCTTATTGTCTTTGTTGCTATCATTGGTGAGTGCACAATACTGGATCACATTCATAATGATTTCCTCCTTCTTTGTTTTCAAGGATACTTTGATGATACTTGGTCCATATGTGCTTTACGTGCTTCTTTGGACAACATCAGAGCAAGTCCACGAGTGTGTGGAGCATTTTCCTCTTCGTGACCGGAGTACAGCAGCATCTCTTCCGTATCTAACATTTCCTGTCCAGCTTGAGACAAATGGGTTTTCCGGATTCCGAGTACTGCCAAGTTGTATCTCCTCATTACCGTTGCTGTTTGACTGGTCCTCCCGATCTCCCACATTGATCAGATGTTCCATGTACCTATAAAAATTGTTGCTCTGGTTGTTAGAAGGGTCATCGGCCTCGTGACCTCCGAAGAATAAACGGTGATACATATTTGTGTACATATCGTCAGGTCACCTTGATAATTCTTTATTACAAAAGTACTGTCTCATAATTATGACTGACTTATATTTAAGTGTAAAACTGTTTTCCCCCTTAAAACTTAATTCAAGACGTAATGTTTTAAAAGTTTATTAGCCTGTGTGAGTAGTGAATGGTATTTACATAAATTAGAAATTATAATTGTGATCAAAATAATTTCTTAGATATTGAAAGGAACTTTGTTTATTTTTCAGTAATAAATTGAAAAATCAGTCTATTCCTGATAGTTTATTACATGATCGACAATTGTCTAAGATAATCGACAAAGAAGAACAAATACTTCAGCAACAAGATCGGGCTAACAATTCAGATCATATTGATTTTTTCAATACACGAGTTCAACCTTCAGAAAATTCAGTGAATCATTTATCTTTAGATAATCAATTTGCTCCAAGATCATCATTATCGTCGGAATCATCATCATCATCATCAACATCATCATCATGTTCAGAGACTTATATGAATTCTTCTTTACAACAAATAGACAGAAATTCTAATGAACACAATAATAGTAAACAATTAACTAATGATTTTACACAATTTAATAAAACATTCCAGTTGAATACATGTGAATCGGGCAATACTAATACTAATCATAATAATCCACTTATTTTAACATCATTAAAAGAATTTCAACTCGATCAAAACAGATTATTCAATCTTTCCAATCATTTACTAATAAACAATAATAACGGTCAATCTACCATCAAAAACACTCTTAACAATGGTACTATCAATACTACTACTACCACTACTACTACTAGTACTACTAATAATACAAATAGTAATAAATTATATAGAGAATCACTAAATTCTTTGAATTTGCCAATATTTGATGAAAATTATGATCAAATCAACAGGAGTAGAATAGATCAAGGTGAAAATACAAACAATATTCAATTAGATATTTTACAGTCAACATCATTACTACTTAAAACTGAAGAGAATTTAATGAATTTCCCATCAAGCTCTTCATCATCAACATTGTTATCTAATCGATCGAAAGAAGCTGATAGTTCAAATATAGCCACCATGAGTAGTGGTGAAAGTGGTGGCGGTATTATCGCTGTTCCTACAAATACCGGTTGTTGTGAATCATTAAGTATATTGACAAGAGATATGATGAGAGCCTATCTCGTTGATCGACGGGATCAAATTCTAATCATACTTCATGCAAAAGTTGCTCAAAAATCATATGGAACAGAAAAACGGTAAGTAATTTATATCTCTTATACTTAGTGAAAAAGTACAAGACTTATTTTTTTTAAAATAGTGTATTCAGGTTGAAAATAAGCTACATTTACTATCAAAAAATATATTGCTACATATTGTCAGTATCGACTGAATTATTCTCATCAGATGTTGTTATTCATGAACCGTTAGAAATGAAAAACAAATTACAGTAATTGAAAGCTAACGATTCACGATACTATAACGGAGTTCTTTGTTTATGAGGTAGTATATTTTTTAATCTTACATTCAACCTCCATCTGTTACTCGGGCTCGAGAACTAGAGTAGCTCCAGAGGCGTCTCCAGGTGAAGTTACTAGAAAGTTACTGATCTATAAATTATTATTTTTAACTGTGGAAGAAATTGTTGGCTTAGCACACAGTACATGATTAATAAAAGTAAGTCGTGTGAAATTGAGCTCACTATCTGATTTTTGTTCTAATGGTACTGATCGAAATCCTAAAAAAATGGTTCATTCTAGTTTTCTTTTAGAAAAGTAATTCAGCAATTAATTATTTTGTCAAACAAAGAAAAAAAAGTAGAACTCGGTTAGAATTGTTGTTGTCGTTATTTCTAAGGTTATAATGATATGATTCTCTTATGTATTTTTTCCGGTGGGGGGGGGACCACACAGACATACTAGAAAATTATGGTACATATATGTTACCGAATAAACAGTAGTGTTACTTTTGCATTAATGTATTGCTTTAAACATTCATACAGTATTTAATGCTTCTACATTGATGAAAGGTAAAATGCATTTTCTTGAAACGGTCAATGAGTGCCGATTAGCATTGAGAAGCTGTAGTGCTTCTAACTGTTTATTTTCAAATAGTTACTATCGAATGTTTATTAGGTAAGCTATGTAAAATTGTGTATGGGACTTATTTAGTATTTAGTATACAAGTGGTTGATTATTGAGTAGTGACCATTGTTATGAATGTCATCAGGTCCTTCTTGGTGCTCATCAAATTCTCTCAGTGAAGTTGAGATGTGTCCATTTGTGCAAGTGACTAAAAATAATATGCATTATGTTTAAATGTTAGGTGATTAAAAGTCATCAATAGGAAACGTTTCTTGACTTAGGTTTTGCACTAGTTTTTACTCATCAACAAAGTGTATTTATAATCTTGGAGGGAACTAACGCTCCTTGGTGAATTAGAGTCCAAGTTGCTCAGCTGCTCCATCTGATACTTTATCACTGTGTTAACTAAATGCAGTCAGTCAGTCAGTCAGCTACAACGTAGGACCAGGCAATATATGCATCGGTCTAGGTTGCCATACCTCATTAGCACAGCAAGATGAACACCGGATTCATAGGAGTGGTTAGGTCAAAGGTGGTAATATATAAAAGAAAGATTGCATATAAGGATACAGTACAGGAAGAAAGAATTAGTTAGTAGAAAGAAAGATATGAAGCAATTTTAATCTCTTAGTTTAAGGGAAGACAGAGAGTGTATACATTGACACCATTGTGATCGATTCTGAGCCATGTCACCAAGAGTCTCCAACCATCGGTTACGAAAGTCACGCGGACCCCAACCAAGTAGTCTGCATCTACCAACATGGCTCAGACTAGAGTTTAGTGTCTTCAAGCACTGATCCCACGTTTTGGTTTGGCCGCCCCTAATTCTCTTCCAGCCATTTCTAACACCCGTTAGCATTGCACGACGTGGTAATCGGTGTTCAGGCATACGTAATACGTGGCCCAATCATCTCAGTCGATGAAGATTCACAACCTCATAAACTGATTTACCATCATTCCCTAATGCCCTGCGTCTAATATCGCTATTGCATACCCGGTGATCCCAGCAGATGTGAGCAATATTTCTAAGGCATCTGTGGTCAAATACTAGTAGCTTACGGGTGTCTTCTACTCTTAAAAGCCATGTTTCGCTGCCGTAAATTAAAACAGAACGGACTGCCGCGCAGTATACTCGTCCTTTTATTGATAGACGGATATCTCGCCTTCGCCATAGGTGACGTAAGTTGGCAAAAGCCAAACGAGATTTTCGAATCCGTGCTGAGATTTTGTCAAACACCAACCCACTAGGGTTGATCAGTCTTCCAAGATAAGTGAAGTTGTCGTTGCGTTGGACTTCTTCACTCCCTATCCTTAGTTCAGGTGTTGATTCAGGCCAGTCCTGAAGCAACAACTTGCATTTAGAGGGAGAGAAGCGCATTCCAAACATTCTGGCTTTGTTGCTTAGTGCTACCAAAAGACTCTGCATTTTGTCAGCGTCTTCACCAAACAGGACTGTCATCTGCGTATTCTAAGTCGATAAGTGGACCTCCTGGTAGGAGATCAATACCCGAGAATGTTATTTCCATCAGTAGGTCTATGATGAAGTTAAACAGAAATGGAGAAAGTGGACAGCCTTGACGGACACCACTCGAGGTTGCATGAAGTCAACCATTTTCAGTTTATTTTTTCTATTTCTTTCATCATTAGTCATATTTTTTTAATGTAAAAGAGTGAATAATACAACTTAATAATCAAGAATTGTATGTTCATACACTTAATATCATTTGTGAAACTGTTTAGTGACAATGACATTCCCAATGATACATTGTTATTGATTTTCTTAAACTTGAAACTTTATATGAGCAGTAAAATGACCATCTCTTTAATGTTATTTATGGATTCATTGTACATTTTATTATTATTAACTTAAGGATATATATTTTGTTGCTTTTCATCAAAATGAAAAAATGGTAATTACTTGAATGAAACAAGTTTGAACAAAGAATATATATTTTTATAATTTTAGAAAGTGTATGAAGTGTAATATTCTAAACTTTTCTTTGATAAATATCACTACACATATACAAATCATAATAAACCATAATAAAATACATATTGTAGTTAATGAAGTGAAATTGCATTAATATATATCGATAGGTTATTATAGACAACATATTTTGTAATGTATCAGTTTTGATTTGTACTTTTAAGGAAGCATTAGACTGTTATTTCGTTCTAGTATGGAACTTCTCAGCACTGGGCGTTCACGATCTCATGGGGGATTAAACCTGGGACTGTCAGTTATCCCGGCTAGAGCTTAATCATTAGACTGTTGGTAATCACCTCGCTGTTGGACACCGACTCGTACGGTTAAGCTCTCATCACGAAATCTGAAAAACCTGCGTTTGATCCTCAGTAACATTAGGGATGCTCGTTGCTGAGGCGTTCCATGTCAGGTCAAAACCTTAGTCTAGTTCTTCGCGGTCTTTATATATTTTTTATTATTAGACTTTTCAGCTTTAATGGTCAACGTAAAGATATGAATTGTTTGTTTTATGTTGATTATTTATTCTCACCCTCCCTCTCTTAGGTGGGATATGATTCATTCACACACACACACACACACACACACACAAAGATAACTACATTTCGAAGTTATTTAAACATAAACTGAGTGGAGAAATACAACTTACTGATTAACGTAATCAATTTAAAACCCTTAAGTGAATACTGTAAACAATTGGGTGGTTGATTACATATGGATACGCGCAAGCATATTTACTAATATGGGCAGAGAAATATATATATTTATCATATATCAAAGATTTTATATAATTAAAATTAGTAAAACAGCAGTATGTTGGAGGTGGGGAATGGTGATTTTCTGTTATCGTTGCGCAAGATAAATTTATTCAGATGAAATCAACAACAATTTACCGAAGATATTCATTAAGGTTAACATTCATCCAAAAAAGCAGTTCTAATAGTACCACAAAGAGAATTTGTTTCCCTTACAATTTATTTATGAACTGATCAAGGTTTTCGATAAAAGATTTCCCAATATTTGACACAATTAATTTTTGTATGAATAGTTTATTGTTGTTATATGGACGGAAACTATGCAAGTATTTTTTTTAGTTAAGAATTTTTAAAAACAACTTTCTATCTTGGGTAACATGTATATTTAGATCAAAAAAATTTGTTATATATTTTCTGTCCTACCGCGTTATGCCCCATGCAGAGTATGTATGTTACATTCATATATCTATAAATATATGGCAGCCAGTAAATATGGTAGGAGAGAACTAGGTGAGAGTACATAATAATCTAGAGTAAAGCGGTATCTCAGCAGGTTTCATTCAGTATAGATAATATTATCACATAGAAATTGTGGTCGTTTTTTGTATTCTGTACTTAAATGAACATTGAGATTTTTTAAAACAAAGGAAGGACTAGAGGTTTACTTGTTATATCGTTTTCAAACGCATATATATATCATAAACGTTAACTAGTTTTTTTCAGTTTTTTATCATTCCATTATTATGCTTAGTTTTTGTTCAAAATACCAATGTATACAAACAATCATTTCATGATAAGTATAATGACCAATCAAGTCATACTTTGAGAAATAGATTCACATGAAAAACAGTAGTAGACTTTTTAATTTCCCATAATCAAATATCTAGTTTTTATCAGTTAATTGTAAACATTGAGTGATATGGGCCGGAATAAGTCATAGTGTTGCAGATTTATTCAGTCTCTATCTTGGACTAAATTTTATGTTCCAATATTCCTTCATGCATAATTCTCCACTGAATGACTTTTTATGAACTGACTGATCACACTGATGAGTAATTTTTCCAAACTTACTAGTATGCTACATAATAACGAAGTGTCAGTAGTTAGTGCATAGTTGATAACATGTTTTAAAGTGATATTATCCCTCTTTCTTCAGCAAAAACTATTGGTGAAGTCCAGTGGTTTTTGAAGTCCTACTGATATCTTCTAACGTTTAATAGTTGATTATTTTCACAAATACTTGTTCGGTAACTTTATGTCATGCGATTTTAATTTTAGAACTATCACTTTACTTGGTTACTAAGTAGTAGATGATTTTCATTTGAATTAATTCAATTGTTCTTCTATACTGGCATTCATTCTCTCGAGGTTTTTGTAATTTGCTTGTTTGTTTGAACACATAAATATTGTCAGAATGGGTTTTGTGGAGAGTTATA